ATATCTGGGTCCTCTGTTCTGTTCCATTGGTCTTCATATCTGTTTTTGTGCCAGTACCATGCTGTTTTTATTGCTATGGCTCTGTAATATAGTTTGAAATTGGGTGTTATGATACCTCCAGCATTCCTCTTTTTCTGAGTATTGTCTTGGCTATTCGTGGTCTCTTGTGGTTACAAATGAACTTTCGGGTAGATTTTTCAATCTCTGTGATGAATGTCATTGAGATTTTGATGGGAATTGCATTAAACATGTAGATTGTTTTTGGTAGTATAGCCATTTTTACTATGTTGATTCTGCGAATCCATAGCATGGGAGATCTTTCAATCTTCTGTAGTCTTCCTCAGTCTCTTTCTTCAGAGGTTTGCAATTCTCCTTGTAGAGGTCATTCACATCCTTTGTTAAGTTTACTCCTAGGTATTTGATTTTATTTTTGAGGCTTTTGTAAATGGAATTTTTTTTTCATATATTCTTTCTCAATTTGTTCATTGTTGGTAGAAATACAAGGTTTTGAGAAATAAAACTAGATTCTTTTCTTCTTCTCCCAAATGCCTATCTCTTTTCTCTTTATGACAAAGTTCAGTAAGAAGCAGACTGGGTTATGAATGTAATGAAAGGTGAAGAAGGCTGAAAGTAAATGAAATATTAAGCCCTAACATTAGGTCACGTGCATTGAGAACATGAATCATTTAATTATTGACAACACTATGATTGTCCTGATGAGAGAAAAGGAGGCTTAAATTGGCAGAAACTTGTTATTGAGTGACAAAGGGAGTACTAAGTCTAATCTCCATTCATTCCAGTGCTTAAATGCCTAACTTCTACCCTTTAAGACCTCTCAGCAAAAACAAAAATAAGGAACTAAGGAAAAGAGAAAGTGAAGATGGTGAAAGGGAATGAGAAGCATCTTGAGGGACCTAGAATAACCTTTCCAACTTCAGGAGCATTGGTTCAGTTCCCATTTGGATGGTCTATCATATTAAGGGTGTCTGAGGGGTTGACAGTGGGAGGTGACTTAGATTATATACAAGCTTGCTTTCTTTCTCATCCATTGTCCTTTTTCATTGTGAAGAGATTTCTGAGAACTTCTTCATTTATGACAACAAATATCACTGCTATGAAAAGTGTTGAAATCCCCCATTTTAAAGAATAATATTTCCTGGCCGGGAGTTGGTGGCTCACTCCTGTAATTCTAGCTACTCAGGAGGCAGAGATCAGGAGGATGGCGGTTCAAAGCGAGCCCATGCAAATAGTTCCCTGAGACTCTATCTCAAAAAAACCCTTCTCGGAAAAACAAAAAAGGGCTGATGGAGTAGCTCAAGGTGTAGGCCCTGAGTTCAAGCCTCAGTATCCACCACCCCCCCAAAAAGAAAGAGTATTTCTTATGCATGTTTTTCAAAGTTCTGGAATACAAGAAGTTGAATAATACTCTGGAACTCAGTGAGGAGGCACTTTGCTCAGGTTAATGTTTCCTCATGGTGACAGCAAGCCAGAGGTGTGTGGGGTTCTGAAGTACAGCAAGAGAAAAATAGAGAGCCTCACAGGTTCGTCCTGCAGTCATCATGGTCCAGGGCCCTGTCCAGCTTGGCCAATTCAGGAATTCAGTTTTGTATTATCCATTTGTCATATCCATATGACAGTGACCAGTCATATGATTCCTTCACTTCAATAAGCAGTGACTGAACACCTTCAATGCTGGACATTTCCCTTTGAACCTTCCAGAATTTCTGCCCCCTTCTCCACCTGCTCTTCCTGCAAGGGAGTGTTTGTGAACTTCCTGGACTACACTAACCCTCTGTCCAGATATGGTCTAGAGGCCATATCTGGCTTGAAGTTCATTTTCTGTAAATTAAGTTTACTAGAACACAGCTGCACCTATCCATTTAAGTATTGCTGATGGCTGCTTTCACACTTCAACTAGAAGAGTGATGTAGTTGTGACAAAGATATTATGACATGCAAAGCTTAAAATATTTATTTTCTGGCCATTTATGGTGAAAAAAAAAAGCTGACCTTTGCTTTAGGTTGATTTCTCTTTTGGGTTGATTTATCAGGCAGCTCTCCCTGCTGGCTATAGACCACTGTTGTTGGGTGGCACTCCCTACAGCTACAACCAGCTCTTCCTTAGTGCTGATATCCATCTCTTCCCCTGGCTGGCCCTGATGGGGAGTTCTCACTATTGTTTTTGCCAGATATGTCGCCATCACCATTTTTGCTGCCATTTTTAGCAGACAGTTCCTTCATTTACTTAGCTTGATTCTGCCACCAATTTCCACCTGAAACTGACTGACCTATTATATGCATAGCATTGTACTAAACACAATGAAAAAAAAAGCAGGGGGGTGGTGGTGGAGAAGAGCAAATAGCTACCCTTCTTCCCCTTTTGTTTCTTTTTTAGGCAGTACTAGGGATTGAACACAGAACCTTGTGCATATTAGGTAAGTGCTCTACCACTTAATCCTTGCCCTCAGTTCTTTTGCTTTTTTTTAGTTTAGTTTTCAGATATGCTTTCATGCTTTTGCCCAGGATAGCTTTGGTGGTGATCCTCCTACCTTCATCTTCCATGTAGCTGGAATTACAGGTATGTGTCACTAGGTCTGGTCTTAAATATTTTTACTTTATGATATGATGGTAAGAGCAGATGAGGGATGCAGAGAAGATAAATGCAAATAACTATTACACAAGAATGGCTGTGCTTAGTACAATAATAAAGATATAAACAGAGAAGGGAACCTTCACATTTGGATGAAATATTCAGAGAAGCATCCATGACATGGCACTTGAGCTGAATCTTAAAGGATGGATTCATTTCATAGAGGTGAACATTTTTATAAAATAAGACTATAGATAAGTTTACAAAATGAGATATTTGTGGAAAAATAATCATTTCCAGTTTTCTTTTTAAATTTTTATTGTTTAGTTAGACACTTGGCAGAGCACTTTGATCACCATGATATTCTGTTCTCATTAGGACTCCTTGAAGTAGTTCTATTGTTATCCTAATATCATATAAGGGCATGGAAAATTTTTTGAATATGAAGTAACTTGCCCATTATGTAGAACTTGAAAGGAAAAGTAAGAATTCTTAACTAGACTCATAATCCTTTGGGAGATGACAAAGCAATAGATGGTGTTTCAGTGTTGGTTTCAGGCTGGCTCTGCTGTAGAAATGAAGTGGAGACAGTTGATTTTGGCCATATCTTGAAGCAGCTGGCATTGTACAAAGGCCTTTGGTCTACATTCTTTGAGTAGTTCTCAGTCCCTCAGGATTTTGCCTAGGCCAATGAGGCATTAGAGTGTAAGTTAAGGAAATGTGGTCTTAGTGGTGCATAGAAGGAATTGTAAAGGACACCATCCACCTCATAGGTAAGGTTGATGGATCAGAACAAGAACTGAAGCCAACTGGGTTTTACATCTGAAGTGCTGATTAGAAAGTTGGTGACATCAATAACAGAGCTGGGGAACACTGGAAGAAGGAAAGCATTATTAATTTATTTATTTGGTTTTCTCATTTCCAAGTAGTTTATGTGAGCAGGTCTGGTATGGAGGGTTATGCATCTAAGAAATTTCTGGGCCTCTTGGTGGTAAAGCCTGGCTTGAGTTGGTTAAGTAGGACTAGGGCAGTGGAAACTTGATCTTGGAGTAATGAAACTGCTGGCCAGAGGCGTTTGCTGGCTGTGATCTCCTCCACCTTCAGTATCTGAATGGGCCTGGGCATGGTGCTGGGCACTCACTAGGTATGGGTACTCACTAGGTATGGAGTACCATATGGACTCACTAGGTATGGGTACTCACTAGGTATGCTGGGCACTCACTAGGTATGGAGTCGTGATGTTATTGCAAGACTCATAGTGTAGCCAGATGCTGGAGTTTTCACCCATGGGGAGAGGGTGATTTCTCCAAGTCCTGACTGTCTAGGCAATTTCCCCTGAAGTCTCCTTTATCTTCTTTAGCTGAGTAACAAAACTTTGATTAGGCACACCTCTTCACTGGCAGTGGAGGGGTGGCCCTGAGGCATTGGCAGATGGCAGGTACTGCCACCCCACCTTTCCCTGTGTGCAGTGTGCTGAAGACCCCTTTATGTTATTACCTCTGCTACCCACAAAAGCAGGAAACTCTAGAAGAGTGATTAGGAATTTGATTTTGAATATGTCGTAGTAAAAGTACAAAGGACAATTCCATGTTTATTTCCAGAGAAAATTCTGATTTCCTCTGCAATTGGAGGTATGAATGAAGCTTCAAGAATGTTCTAGGCTCTGAATTGTTGACATTAGAGTTCACATCTGTGGCAGATGAGTAAAGTGATAAGTGGTGGAGAAAGTTGTAAATTCAGGAAGGACGATTACCCTCTGGCTAGTCCTTCCTTGGGGGACAGCAGCGGAGCCCCAGGCAGTTCTTCCTTAGGATTGGCCCTTATAAAACACATTCTTTACATGTCAGGACTTTTTACTTGTCACACACTTCAGTTTCTGTTCTTTGAGTGTGGGTACTCCACATTGACTTTCGCAGATACTCAGCGATCTGGATTTTAAAATGGTTCTAAGAACTGTTACCTAGTTTCACGGTCTTGTTAGCGGCTGTGAAAATGGTCTGAAAAGTACATGCCGTTAAACAAACAGAAGACACACGTGCTTATAACTTTTTTCTCCAGGAGATACACACATCTGTTTAGCTGGTAGTGCCAGCTATTTTCATTCTTCCTCTTCGCCTGCCTTTGCCACAGGCAGTTACAAACCTGGTCAATAATCGACCTGGAGGACAGGATGCCCGGAGCTAGGCTCCCAGCTCAGAGATCCGAAAGTCAGATGGACTTCTGGGGCGGAGCAGGGGCAGGGCATGACGTAGTACCTGTCAGCGCCGCCGATTGGCGGATAAGAAGGTTGTTCCCTCAGGACTGCCGCTGATTGGCTGCAGGAAGAAGAGGCGTGACGTCCTCAGAAATTGACCAAACACCTCCTCCTTCCCCCGCCCCCATCCCAATTTCTGCTGGAAATTGCAGCCTAACCTACTCGGAGTCTGGAGTTTGGGGCTGCGGGACCAGTTGGCATCCAGAGCGGACTAGGTGAGGAGGGGGCCTGGGAAGGGCTAAGCCGATGGGGACGGGGGACTCGGCCTGGAAGATGCTATGGGGAGCCGCGGGCGGGACTCCAGCTGCCGGCCAGGAGGGGCCCTGGGATCGGCCTCGGGGTTCCAGCGTGCGGGGCGACCCTGGGGGCTCGGCAGGCGGCGAGCACTTGGGCCCCAGCCAAGCCTTGCTGGGAGAGAAAGGAGGGAGAGCAGTCGCAGCTCCGGAATTTGGAAGTAGGAAGCGGGGAGGGATGGCCAGGCATGTTTCTTTTCTTTTCTTTCTGTTTTTGGCGGGCTGTGGTGGTGCTGTGGCTGGGAATAATGGATTGATGTTGAAGTTGCAGAACGCATACCCTGTGAATTTCCGGAGGCGAATTTGGGGTGACTGTCTGCGGGGGGTGGTGGTGGAGATTGCAGGACTAAGTCCCTGACCTCCCCCTCTACTCCTATCTGCTTGTGGAACTGAAGATGAACTTTCCACGCGGGAGTACGTTCTGCCTGAGACAGAGCCCGCCGGCAAGGGCTGTGCCTGTCCACACTCAACAGAGACAGCACAGCGACAAAGATGGCACTTTGCTGTCAGATGTCCTGAACTCCAGGGACCCTGGAGTGTCTGTGTGGGTCAGTGGGAGCGCTCATTCCGGGAGGGGATACGGGGGACCCCGTGTTTTTTGTTTGAATGGGGCTGACTGTCGCGACAACTTTCAGAAAAGTTTCTGAAAAATTGATTTTCAGAGGAAGGGGTGGAGAGTTTTGTTTTTTTTTGGGGGGGGCAAAGGGAGAGACAGGGAGAGAGAGAGAGAGAGAGAAAATGAGTTCACTAACGAACAAGAATTACATTTTCTGATGCTATGGTCCACTATGTATTGCAATGAGAGGAAGGTTTAGGTATGACTAGGACAGTGTAGCTATACAGGATTGAAAGGTCATGAACTTAAGGTGGAGGCTTTCCAATACTTTGTTAACAAAAAACAAAAGAAAACAGATGGCATGGTGTGTCTGAGTGTGTATTTTGTCACTCCCATCCTCACTTTTCCCCATGAAGATGAGTTAACCCAGGGCTACCTAACTTTCTGGCTGTGTAATCTGGTTGCCATTCTGCAAAGTGACTAAGGAGGACAAAGGTTGCATCAGATTTAAGGGAGTAATTTCCCAGTCTTCCAGAAAGTCATATTTCTTATTGATCTCATTTGTTATGGGTGCAAGAGTAATCAGAACATCCATTTAACTTTATTTATTTATTTATTTTCGGACTGGTGCTTTAATCATTACCAGACCTTAGTTTGGGGTTGCTGAAATAATCCGGTGTTGTGAGCAGTTTCCATTTAACAGAAACGTTTTCCTCTTATTTTTCTTTTATTAAATTTCTCAGAGAAAAAATATTACAATAGTGATGATTTTCCTAGGTTGAGACCACAAGAAATTCCATGGAACTTGTAAAATTAGAGAAATGCTGTATGTTGGGAATGGGAAGTAACCAAGAACATTATTTCTGTATTAACTGAGTTTGAGATGCAATCCATTATAAGTTGCATCCTGATTTCAGACATGCTAAAGTATGGAAAATATGTCTTAATTTTATATTGTACATCCATGCCTAAAGGAGACTTTCAAGACATGACTTGCTGGGCTCCATTTTTTATCTCCTAGAAAAATGTAAGTGTGTGTGTGAATTAATTACCAAAGTGTGACAAAGAGCAAGAGAAGTTCATGTCTTTTGCTAGTGGAATAGTCGTGCTTACATTTGAGTAATAGTCACTAGTAATAGTCCTTTCTTAAAGTGTAAGACTGTGTATGCATTTAGCACAATTAAACTTCTCAACAGCCTTGAGAGCTAGATGTTAATATGACCTCTATTTTGTAGATGGCAAACAAGCAGTTGGGTTGACATGTGGACCACGGTCACAGAATAAGTTTGGGTGCTGGAAATCCAAGTTATACACTGAGAAGTATACATCTCCTGTTGTAAGCTGTGGCTCCTGGTCAGTGCAATTCAGGCAGAGCTTAGACAAATGCCCGGTGCTGCTCTCTAGTATATTTAGTGCTCTGTTTTCCTGTTTGTGTACTTCAGGAAGATGTTCATTAATAAAAATTCAATTTATGTTGTAAAATGCTAATGTATTTGTAATCCACAGTACTCAGTCACTACTATGCTTACTAGAATCAGAATGTTAGAGCTGAAAGGTAATTTAATACTACATTATTGTCTGGATGAGGAATCCGAGGTCAAAAGAAGGAACTTATAGCTAGCTGTATGTTGTAGCTCCCAGATCTGGGTTTTCCCACCATCCCATACTATATTTTGGAATGGTGAGATCTTGGCAGAGAATACAGCTGTTCTTTGGAGGGAGGAAAAGAGGTTGTGAACCCCAGTTCTTATGCATGTGTATCTTGTCTGCTGTGTAGGTCATTATGATATTTATTTAAGTTTGCTCATTTATTTATTCATTTTAATTTTGGAACTGATGCACAAAGCATAAAAACTGTATTAACACAGTGTCATGTGGTTTTTTGATACATACTACATTGTGATGTTTAAATCAGGGTAAATATTCCTATCACCTCAAACATTTATCATTTCTTTCTGTTGAAAACATCCAAACTCCTTCTTCCAGCTTTTTAAAATATATAGTACGTTATCATTATCTATAGCCATCCTACTGTGCAATATATTATTCATTCTTTTTTAAACATTTGAAGTTTTTCTATGTGTCAGTCACTGGGAATATAGAAATGGATAAATCACACTTCCTGCTCATTCACAGTTCCACAAGGAGACAGAAAAACACTTGCTTTTCTGCTGTTTCCTCTAACTCCAGTGCAGAACTTCACCTTCCATCTCATTGAAGCTAAATTTGTGAGCTAGAGACCAGGAGAATCTTGGGTTTTGTATCTCTGCATAACTTTGAGCAGCTGAGGGCTTGAGAAAATGTAAATTATTTCAGACTAGATTAATTAACACTAATAGACCTCCCCCCAAAGTCTGCTACTTCTTTTTTTAAAGCTTATAGCTATGTAGTTTATAAATGGTTCAACATGGAAGCGTTAAAAGAAAGTACTGATGGAAAAGGAAGTGAAAGTATGAAGGCCATTGTTGAAAGCCCCAGCCTGGTTCCAGCCTGGTTCTAGCAAGCTTCAGGGTTGGGAGACATTTAAATTAGTGCTGGGCCACCATCGGATGCCCTGTTACTTTGGAATTCTTTTGAACCTCCTAGAAACATTAGAATCTGTAGTACAGACCAAGACTCATAGCAATGGGGCCACCTCACTCATTTACATATACCAGTACTTCCTGGTGTATGTAAATATACCATTGTGTATTTTTACCACCGTGTATTTTATTTAAAAATACCAAGCATATCTTAAAAATACTCTTGTATTTTAAAAAGACTGGAAGAGTAAATGTACATATTTTACACTTCTCACTCATTTACTTATGTTTTTTATCTGAAGGCTATATTAACCCTCTCTTTGTCTCTTGATATTTAAACCAGATATACTCTTGATTATTACAAATAATTTGGTATCAAGAAATCTCATTGTATGAATTGCTAGTTTTAGTTTGAATCATCTAATTTTGTTGTGGAATTGTTTAAAAAGACAAATGACACATTTTCTGACTATGGGGGCTACAGATGGAACATTTGGCTTTAATTTCTTCAATAATGAGTGTGTACTTCTTTATTTATGTCCCAGTGGAAGAGACAGAAATTACAAGAAGTCACACTTAGTTCTTATTTTGCACTTGTATTTGCACATTGCTCTGGTTGGATGGTACTGTGCAACTTTAAAATTTTTTCTGGTTGTGTTGCTGCTATAGAAAAGGTTGAAAAGACTTGAAGAATTTTTGATATTTGATTGAAGAATAAAAAGCTCCATGAAGACCTCAGTTTTCTTCATCCACTCATCTTTTATGAATACTACACAAATGAAATGCCTCATTTTATGGCACCAGTGCTACTTGAACAGTAGCAGATAAATAACTTTGTTAAGTTACTTTTAAACAGTTATACCAACTGAAATGTCAGAACATATTAAGACTTTTCCATAGAGGCTTGGGAAATGTTTTTTTTATGAAACATTGAAGACCCTTTACTTCTGTGGGCCTCACTACCCTCCTTTGTAATGTCAGGTTTTAGATTATCTTCTCACAGTTCCATTTGCCCTCTAATATTTAGTTATAATAATCAGTAGTTTGTAATTCATTATCAGAGTTTGATTGGCACTGTAGTGGTTAATCTTTTTTTTTTTTTTTGTGGTACTCCAGTTTGAAATTCAGGCTTCATGATTGCTACTCAGGAGCTCTACAACTTGAGCCATTACACCCACCCAATGTGGTGGTTAATCTTAATAGTCAACTTGATTGGGTTGAGAAGCATTGGAGATCAGTAAAGCACACCTTTTTTTCAGCACAGGATTTTACTATGTGTTTCAGGCTGGCCTAGAACTCTTCGTAGCCCAAGGTGGTTTGGAATTTACTATCTTCCTGCCCCTGCCTCCCAAGAGCTGTGATTACAGGCTTGCACAATCATACCCAGCAGATAGACTCTTTTATTGACAAGCTTCAAGAACTCTGCTTGGATTCCTTCACAAGATTTTTAATGATGGTTACTCAAGGACCAGGAAATAGTTCATGGTCACTGAAAGCAAATGCTGGAAACTATATAGGTGTGTCTGTGAGAAGGTTACAGAGAGGATAAACTGAGGGGTGAAGACTCACTTTAAATGTGACTAACACCTTCTCATATGCTGGTATCCTGGAGGATGAAAAGGGGAGAAAGGAGAATGCTAGCTAGTGTGGGCATTTTCTCTTTCTGCCTCCTGGCAGCCATGATGTAAGCTGCCCTTATCTAGCACACCTTCCCTGCCATGATGGACTGAAGCTGAGCCAAAGTAAATCCTTCCTTCCTCCTTTTAAGTTGTTTTGTCAGGTATTTTGCCAGAGTGATGAGAAAAGATAACATGAGTGCCATTTAATTAAATGAATCTACCAATCCTACTTCTGTAAGAACCCATGAAAGTAACAAGGACTGGATTTCTGCTTCTTCTGATCTTTACCAAGTAGTTAACATCATGCTATGCAACCTTATGAACCCCCTCCCAATGTATTTTTTTGAAAAGAAAGTCAAAGGCATCCATCCTGTGATCAAGGAGCAAAAGATTCTATTTTGGTAACATTATCAAGTCACTTTCTGGGGCTGGTACAGTGGCTTAAGTGGTAGAGTGCTTGCCTAGCAAGCCTGAGGCCCTGAGTACAAACCCCAGTGCCATACACATACAAAAGAATACACTTTCTGGATTTTATTATATTTTTAATTAAACTTTAGAAAATATTCACTCTATAAACAAATGACTAACCATTTTATGTTAATACCTGTATTGCACAAAAGACGACTCCACTGACCACGTGAAGCACCTTCCTAACCACCTCTGTTCTGAGGTGGATTTTCCTCATACTTTTTTTCTTTTGAGAAGGTCTCACTGTGTATCTCAGTCTGACCTAGAACTTACTATATAGACCATGTAGACCTGGATCTTGCTTTCCTTCTGCCTCTGCCTCCCAAGTGCTGGGATTACAGGCATGTTCCATCATGCCCTGCAGATATAATTTTTTATGATAAACCTCAAAAACCCTGCTTGGAGTCCTTCATATAATTTAGGATGATGTTGCACGCAAGGACCATGTGATAATTCATCCATCTTCTATCTATCATCTATCTATCTATCTATTATTTATCTATATAATTTTTACTTTCCTCCCCATTTCCCTTGAAAGGTAGAGAAAACACAAAGAATATTTCAGCATATCCTTTCTCCTGTATTCTTCTGTGTGTATTGTAAGAATAGACACACAGAAGTGAAAGAAGTTCTTAAGTCTTTCCCACTGAGAGGTGAAGAGCAGTAAGATGGTATCATAGTGCCTGTTTCCTTCTGTCACAGAGAGGGCCTGTCCACCAATTTCCAGTCCCAGTATATCTCTGTGTATTTCACTATACTACTCCCATGAATTGCAGAGACATTTCCAATTTCCAATCAACCTAGGGAAGTTAAGAAAGTTTACCTTATTGCTATTCTTATGTTGCCAACACATAGAGAAGAAATTTTTTAGATTTCATTTTTATATTTGAAAGATGGAAGAGAAAACTGTTCAAATTTACAAGAGAAGGCCTTTCCCCACCCCTGTTTATGTGACACCTCCCTTTGTCTTATCTTCCTCTTCCTGTTCTCTCAAGCTCTTTTCTCTTCTTCCCCTCTGCTCTTGCTTTTCTACATCCTCCATACTCATGCTGCAAACTGTCATCAGCACTTTCAATTAACCTCACTAGAGCCAGAGGGCAAGCCAGAATCTCTCTGCCTAGCTTCACTGAAGGTATTACCAGAAAAATACATTGCATTTACTTCTTGACAAAAACCACAGACTCCATTCAGGACAGGAAAACCAGAACAGCTCACATGGGTATTCCCATGAAATGCCAAGCATCTGCAGTGCAATTCTGAACCCCTTACTGTTAACCTATTTCTTTTTTTGTTTTTTTTCTTTTCTCCCCCAGTACTGCAGATTGAATCCAGGGCTCTGTGCACGCTAGGCAACTGCCCTACCACTGAGTAACAAACCCACAACTATTGCCTATTTCTTGATAACCTTAGGAAATAGGAAAGTTCTTGTTGGCCTTAGGTAACCGGAAAGTTCTCTGCTGAGGCCAAGTTTCAAGGTTCAAAAGGTTATGGTCAGTAATACACTGCTGTAATCACACCTTTCCCAAGCACTCGGAAATCTAGAATTCACCTTGGCAGAAACTTAGGAAAGATTTTTGGCACAACGGAGGAAAAGTGATTAGGAGCGGTGCCATCTGCGGAGGGGAGCACCGATAATTCACTGAGACTCTAAAATGTAGGCATATGGATCTGATTTCTTTCTGAAATCAGACTTGGCCAGAGTAACAACGTGCGTCAGATCTGCGTCCTGTGGAGCTGTAGGCTTTGGCAAAGCAGAGAAAATCCCAGGTGTTAAGCATTAACCTAGAAATCCTGCTTAAAACAACCAATCTCATTCAGTTTCTTAGTCTGTAAAATGGGGATAATTGTATCTACTTGATAAATTGTTTTGCAAGAAGGAAATGAAACAGTATCTGTAAAGGGATCATCAGCATACAGCTGGTTATTGTTACATTTGCTTAAAAAATGAAAGTTACAGGGATTATAATTTTAGAATTCCTTGAAAAAAGCGAAAATGAAAATAGCTTCCTAAATGAATCCTACAAGTTCAGTCCCTAACACTTCTGTTTGTATTGTCCTCATTCTCCTAGAAAACCTGTTTTTGCAAACATGTGTGTGTGTATGTGTATGTGTGTGTGTATGTGTGTGTATGTGTGTGTGTATGTGTGTGTGTATGTGTGTGTATGTGTGTGTGTGTGTGTATGTGTGTGTGTGTGTGTATGTGTGTGTGTGTGTGTGTATGTGTGTGTATGTGTATGTGTGTGTGTGTGTGTGTGTGTGTATGTGTATGTGTGTATGTGTGTGTGTATGTGTGTGTGTGTATGTGTGTGTGTGTATGTGTATGTGTGTGTGTGTATGTGTATGTGTGTGTGTGTATGTGTGTGTATGTGTATGTGTATGTGTATGTGTGTATGTGTGTATGTGTATGTGTATGTGTATGTGTGTATGTGTGTGTGTGTGTGTATGTGTGTATGTGTGTGCGTGTGTGTATGTGTGTGCGTGTGTGTGTGTATGTGTGTGTATGTATGTATCCTGCTGCCTCTACTCCCATTCTGGACAAGGGAGGAGGGACGGATGGAGGGAGGTGGAGGAGGAGGAGGCAGAGGAGGAGGAGGAGGTGGAGAAGAAGAAGTTGTCTTTGAGTGAGGGGAGACTGTGGTTATAAATCCAACTTGGGTTGGGGAAAGGGGAGCTAAATTATCTGAACATGTACCTTCATTTAGTCAAGAACTGCTACTCAGAATAGAAGATATGGTGTAATGTAGTCACTTATGGGTTTAGGGAATACAGCTCCAGTTTGGAAGATGGGACCACTTCTGGACATATGTGTGTATTTGAAGAAATCTCTGCCTTTGGAATTGGCAAAGTCAATTCCTAAATAAAATTTAGGAGGAGATTTGAGTTCTATGGGTCATTGCAAGTTGTTCTTTGCCTTGGTACACAAGTTGTTATGGGTTGGACTTGTGTTTATTAGATGCAGTATATAATAGTCTTTCATTGAGTTTTAACCATCTATTTTGGTATCCATATTTTGGCCCAAGTCAAACCCCGAACTAAAAAAAGAGCTGTATCTCTTTTTGAAGTTTTTCCTAACGCCTTCTTAGCTGGACTCTTTGCTGTTTGCTTTCTCTTCTGATTCTGTTGTGAAATATCCTATAAATTTACCATTTTTTAGGAAGCACTTAGTTTTTGGCCCCACAAAATGTGCTTGTATGCTTAAATGTCCCGTTAAGCCTTTCTCATCTATAAGGTAGGTGCTCTTTAGAATTTAAGTCTGATGTAATAGAAATGTATTTCATAAAAATTTTGCTATATGCTAGCAGTAATGGGTAGGAAATTTCTAGAATATGTAAAATCATGGGCAGAAAATTTCTAGAGGATATATAGCCCCTGTATTTTGCTGCCAACTGTACATAGAAAACTAAGCTTAGCATGCAAATGATCTAGCAAGTTGTCATCCACAATGATATCTCACAAGAAAATGTGTGCAAACCATTTGAAGAGTAATGGAATAAATATTGTTAAACCTAAGTATTGATGATTAAAAACTTCTATAAAATTTACTCTTTATAGGACACAGAGTAAGCCTTTTGTAAGTATTTTTGGATTGACTAAATAGCAGTCGAAAACTTTGTTGAGGCAGGAAAAGGACAAGGTATGGAGTGGAAGCCCAAGAAGGAAAGAGCACATTTAGCGCAATGAGGGAGAACAGTGAGTGGAGGATGGGGTCTTAGATGGGAGTGGGGTGGTGTAGAGCCTTCCTTTTTAAATGTCTATATCTGAGGTGAGGGAACAGGTATGGTTGGCTTGTTTTCTTAACTTTGTAATCTGTTGAAGAGCAGTACTTTTGTAAAATTCAGTAACAGTGAAGTACTAGAAAAATAACTGTGCTGTATTAAGGTTTACAAATGCTTCCTTTCTATTTCTGTTCCCATTTCATCACTGACCAGTTTAAAAGAAAACTAAACAAAAACAGCAGTTCATGAACTGACACTGCATAGCTTGTGTTTAGAACTGGTCAGAACACTAAACTGGGAATGATCTTGTACACCATTATAAGAATTTCAAGCTTTGTGCCTTAAAAATTAGTATATAAGAGCTGCTTTCTGTTATTGTCAGGCTTTGCATCATAGATTAACTTGTTTAACACTTTTGTACTGAATACATGGTTGATAAAACATCTAAAAGTTTATGTGAACTTAGTTATTGGTTAGTGTCATGTGAATTCCCATATATTTTACTTTGGATTAAGAAATCTCATTTTTGGAGGCATCTGTTTATTTGGGTAAAGGAACACTTCATGTTGAAATTTTCCCCTTCTTCTTTATTTTTCTTGTATCTGTCTTCACTTGGGTTGGTTGTATTTTACAACAGATTTCTAAGGAGACCAGAACTGATCAGTGAGCCCTCCTGCCCTTTGTTGTCCTACTGTCTCACATTGCTTTTATAGTCATCAGATTTCAAGATGCTGCGACTACAGAGGACCAAAATGGGCAGGCTGAGGGCCAGCCTCTCCAGAGGTCTCCACCATAGAGCCGTGATGGCCCTCCGGCGGGAGGATGTCAATGCCTGGGAGAGGAGGGCACCTCTGGCTCCCAAGCACATCAAAGGCATCACCAATCTGGGATACAAGGTCTTGATTCAGCCTTCCAATCGGCGGGCCATTCATGACAAGGTGACAATTTCCAACTTTTAAAATAAGTGTGAATAAAATAAACCTGTTTGTGAAAATTAAGGAATATTTGAGTGAAAATAAAATGTGCAGATGTCACTTTATTTTTCATATTTTTTAATCATATTGTTGTACTGGGGGTACATTGTGTCCTTTACAAAAGTGTTTACACTGTATCTTAGTAAAATTCACCCCTTCCTTCATTCTCCTTTATCCCCCCTCCACCCATTCTTAGAATAGTTTCAACAGGTCTCGTTTTTCCGTTTTTTATATATGTATACATAATATTTCCACTATATCCACTCTCTTACACCCTTTTCTTATATCCTCCCCTCACCTACTGGTACCAGCCCCTAGACAGAATCTGTTTTACCTTCTAGTTCTCTGTTTTTGGGAAAAAAAGACATTTTTGTTTATTTAAGATATCTATTCAGAGAGTTTCACTATGACATTTCCAAGTATATATATGCTATATCCTGAACTGGTTCATCCCCTCCATTGTTCCTCTTTCTACCTTAGTCCTCTTCTTATGGTGATTTCAACAGCTTTAAAACGTCTATGTTTATTATTGTATAGACAGTACATCACCCATATTCACCTTCTTTGCTTCTTTCTTTTACCCTCCCCTTCCTGTTAGTGCCTTCCCTTTAACATGACTTGTTTTGCATTCTTGTCCTTCATTGTTTAGGTGTCTGTTCGTTGGTCAGTAGAATTTTTGTGCTGGTGTTATACCTGTGCAAGCATTGTGCTTAATTCAATGTAGCCCCCTATACTGCATTGCCTTGCCCTTCCCCCCATCCTGTATTGTTTAACAGTTTTCAGCATGTTTCTGTGTGTCTTATTCCTGCACAGATGTGATGTATTTCATTATTAATCACTATCTTTCCTTCTTTTCCTCTCCTCGTGGTCTCCTCTACCAGTCCCTTTTTTGGATACATGCTCTCTCTATATATTGGGCCTATATTCCACATATGAGAGAAAACATGTGACCTTTGCTTTCTGAGCCTGGGTAAATTCTCTTAAGATGATGTTTTCCAGTTCCATCAATTTACCTGCACATAACAAAATTTCATTCTTTATTATGGCTGAATGAAATTCCATTGTATATAAATACCACATTTTCTTAATCCATTCATCAGTTGTGGGGAATCTTGGCTGTTATTGTGAATAATGCTGCAATAAAAATGGGAGTGCAGGTGTCTTTATTATAATCTGGCAAGTGTCACATTTATTCTTTGCTTAAAAATTTTATTTTCACTCCATTCCATGTTTTTTTTCCCGCTAAGAATTAAAGGAACTGCATTTAAAAGTTAGTTCATTTCAATTATTCTCTCTTTTATGTCCTAATTATCCCAAATTTGGTTAGCATACATTCCTTCAATGGGGGTAGTATGTGTTTTGGACATGAATTCGTTTACCTTTGAACTTTATTTCCTGGAATAACATATTCTAGCCTCACTTTATGTTTTTCCTGCAATTAACTATTTTACCAAAATTTTTGATTTCTTTTAGAAGATAGAAGCCAAGAACTGGTGTCTGATGTTAGATGGGCTTGTTGTTACTGAGATATTATTCACTCTTAGGCTCTTTTAGGGGACAGAGCCTAGAAACAAATAGAAGCACACACACACACACACACACACACACACACACACACACAGAAGCATATACATATATTATTGAGTTAATACTATTTCCAATTAAAAGTTAGCATTCATTGTAGTGTTTTCTTATCTGAAAAGTTTTGTATTTGCTTCTTATTCTCCAATAATGACATTCTTAATTCCTTGTTACCTTAATGGACTTTTTGCTTTATTCTACAATACAGACAAAATAGTTTCAGAATTGCAATACTATTATTAGAATTAACAATCAGCTTATTAAGTGAGCATGATAGTTCTTTAAAGCTTTTCTTTTTCTGCTTTTAGAATATATCATACATTTGACTTGTTTTCCTGTGTGGTTACATTATCAATGTATTATATAATATATATATATATATTCTTATATTATTTCTATTCAGTTTTAATGTTTGCTGTTAAATCTCTTTTGATTTAATTTCAAATAAGTGTAACACTTTCAAATTGCCAAGATTCACTCCTGCCTTTACCCAAACACCCTATATCCCATTCCCACCTACTTCAAAGATTTCTTTAGTTTCTGTTCTCAAATTCCTGTTTCTTGTAGGTGACATAGCATCTCTGTGTATATTTGTATGTGCATGTGCTCTTATTTCCCTCTTTTTCTATTACAGAAGTCTATATACCATATGTACTCTTTTGTACCTTGTGTGTATTCGAGTATGTAAAAGAGTATATATGTACATATACCTATATATGAGAAGTATGAGTAGATGTGAGTATATAGTCATGTATATAAGAGTATGTAACACACATACACACAAACACTCACTTTTTGCCCCTTTCTTTGATTAATCCACAGCATATCTCTGACATTGCTCCACATCAGATCATACACATCTGTTTCATGGTAATGTGATAAATACTGCATTGTGTAGATTTATCAAGGCTTATTTGACCAGCCTACTGTAAATGGGAAAATGGACTATTTTAAAAGAAATCAAATTGAAGCTATGTGTTTATTCATTTACCGTTTCTCCTATCCATCTGCATTTTCTTTGAAGTAGATTCCTAACTCAGTTTAATCTTCATTTTATTTAACTGTTGCCATAGATGCTCTTTTGATCTCTCTTGTTCATGTCACTCCCTTATTTAAAAATCTTACATTACCGTATCATGCTTCCAAGTGCTAACTCTGCCATCTTGGCTAAATGTGTAAACTTTAGATTTTTCATTGATAACATTGGGATAATAATGTACTTAATTCATGGGAAATTTATGAGAATTAAATGACATAACTCATTCAAAAAGCTTATCAAACACATAATAATTTGTGAATAAATATCAACTATGATTATTGTTATTTATTATCCAGTAGTGCTCATATTAGCCATGATGATATTCAACTTATATTTTTGAACTTGTTCATCCACATGCCCTAACCATCTTAATTTCCTGCTGTCGTTGTATATATGACTTCCATGGCTTTTATTGAAATTACAACCTTGTATTTCCCATATCTGTCTCTCTACAATCTACCCATTCTTTTAAGTTAACTTAAACTTCTAAATTTATCTAATAATCCTACCTGGGAATTATCTCAATATCAATTGAGTTAATATGTCCTTCAGATTCTGCTGATAATAATGTTCTTTTCACTTTGGCCTCCTTTCCTGGGCTCCTGATATCTTTTTACTGTAGTTTGTGAGTTCTGTAGGAAGGGTCTTTTCTGTTCTTTGTGCCTTATTATTGCTAATACAGTCTATAGTCCAGTAGCAAACACTGAGTCAAAAAATAAAACAAATTTTGGAGAACTCTACATATTAAAAAATATAAATGAGTAAAAATCACTATTTGACATTCAATATTTGTGTTCATTCTTGATATAAACTATACATTTTGTAAGTATGTTTAAACAATGTTTCTACTTAAACTATAATCTGTTGTTACATTTGAGCAGGTGCTAAATTTCTTAACTTTTTGTTTCAAAAGCCAAACACAGTAGGTTTATCTTTTGCCAAGAAGTATAAATATTAAAAGTAGCTGTTCTATTATTTGTTCTAAGCCATACAAATTTCATTCCTTCAAAAGGTTGTGCCTGTTTTTGCTACTCTTTTTATTAAAGAAAATGTGACTTCTCCAAGTCAGGTGAATAACTTTTAACCAAAATTGCATTCCCAGGAATATGTCAAAGCTGGAGGCATTCTTCAGGAGGATATTTCTGAAGCTTGTCTAATTTTGGGAGTTAAAAGACCACCAGAGGAAAAATTAATGTCCAGGAAAACATATGCGTTCTTCTCCCACACAATAAAAGCTCAGGAGGCCAATATGAGCTTGTTGGATGAGGTTTTAAAACAGGTAATTAGCAGCCAGTATTCATGAGTATTAATGATGAGTATATTATAGCTACAGTATATACAAAGTGGAGCTTTAGTTTTCTTTTAGCACCTGGCAAATGCAGTATCACTCCCCTCACTGGCATAGGGGATACATGAGGAAGTGCTTGAATAGTTCTGCCATTCTTCAGGGCTCCTCTGCTGTATCGGTTTAGAGTTTGTAGTAAGAGAAAGTAAATGTATTCCATTCTTTTTAAATTCTGAAGTAGAAAGAACTATAAAAGCTTCCCCAAACACTTACCAATTTATAAGTTCAATTAGACAGATATTACCAAGAAGAATCTCAGAGCTGAAAAGAGCCTCAGATCATGTAACATAACACCTTATTTTTCAGATGGAGTTTGGAGTGGTGAAGTGGCTTGACTGAGGTTGACAGCTCTGTGGTGCCAGAACTGACCTGGAGAAACTTTCTACATTTATTAATGTAGACAAATACTTTGTCATAAAGGACAAAGTGTTTTTTGAGATGTAAATACTATGGAAATAGTAGCAGCTGCTCAAAATACAGTGCATTCATTGAATAAACATCTACTGAGTGTCTACAATGCATTGACATTGTTTACTGAAATGAAAAAGCAAAATAGTAAATATTTGTCTTCACAGTGCTTACTTTCTAGTAAGGTAGAGGATAAGTAAATAGGACATCTTGTATGTCATTTGGCAGTGTGTGTAATGGAGATAAATATAGAATGAGAAAAGGAATGTAGGCATTGGGAGAGTTGACAATGCTAGTGCAGAAAGGATGCAGAAATGAAAGCTTCATTTTAAAGGTGACATTTGAGCAAAAATTTGAAGGACAAAGCATAGAAAATAGTGACGTAAAGGTCTCAGGGTCTTTGTGAGTGGACAATTAGAACCCAGTGTGTATTAAAATGCTTATAAGATGATCATGTACTAAAATGCTGTGTGGATGTAGCTGGAGATGGGCTAAGAACACCACAATTGATCAAAAGTCAGAGTCTATAATAGTCTAGACTGTAGACCAAAAATGAGGGTGACTTGTATAGGGGTGGTGGAAGTTGAGACTGACTCACAGAGAATCCTAGATGTATTTCAGAGGTGAATGCTACCAAACTCACTGCTGACATGAAGGTGGAATTTGAGAAAAGGAGAGGAGTCAGCAATGGCTAAGGATGGGGCCTGAGCTACTGGAAGGGGTTGCCATAGAGTGAGATGATGTCATTGTATGAACAGCAGGCTAGGATGAGAAGGTCCAGAGTCAAGGTTATGACCTGTTAGGTTTAATATGCCGTTAGGGAGTCAGGGGAGAAGCTGAGTAGGCTGCTGAATACAAGTCTGCAGCTGAAGAAGGCAGTTCCTCTCCACATCCATTTAATCCTTGTCAAAAGATCTTGTCAAATGGCATTTACAGCCATGAGGCTGGATGAGTGTAGGGAGTGAGGGGAGATGCAAAGTCATCCAAGGTTCCTGTCCTGTAATAAGGATGTTAGAGTGTTAGAAATAGGCTAAAATATGAGTTCACACGCAAAGGATGAAGATATATTTTATTTAGAATATATTTTCTATTAATTTCATATCTACTAGACCTAGGAAGTAGTTAATTTGCAGTGTTTCCGAAGAACAGACTCAAAACTAATTAATGAAAGCCAATAAAGTCTTCAAAAAGTATTTTAGAGACTGTTTTTTGTTATGTGAACTTTTGTTCATTATAAGATGACTAATAAAAACAGACCCAGCAAGGCTGCTTTTTGGCAGCATTTTGTAACCAGTTACTCAGAGTTGGATGTATGTTAAATGTTCTTAAATTTGTTAACATGGTAAAAATCATATGATTTCTTTTCAGTGCTGGGAATGGAACCCTGGGTCTTGTGCATGCTATTCAAAGCCCTGAGCTACATAATCCCAGCACTTAAATTATATGATCATTGAGGAAATAAAATAACTATTGCAAACATTCATAATTGCAATATACCAATACCTTTTAAGCATAAACTAATAAGACTATCCCCAGAGAAAGGGAAGTTCTCTGAGGAAAGAGGAAGAATGTGTCTTTGCAAAGGAGAGGAAAAGAAATGTAGGCAGCATGCACTACTTTTTAAGTGAAGCTTATCTATAAAAGGATGGAGAAAGAAAGAGGGAAGGATGGGAGAGAGAGAGAGAGGGAGAGAGAGAGAGATTTGTGAACTTGGAAGGAGTGTTAGTATTTTTCGGGGAGAAGATACCAGCAAGTATTAGAAAGACTGAGGAACAATGTAGAGAGGAATGCTGAGAGAAAGAGTAATAGTTCAAAAAGAGTGGTCCTGGAGGACACAGACAAAAGCTGAGGCTTGTCCACAGGAAGCAGTTCAGGAGGGATCTGTCTTCTTTGGGACCAGAAGGAAGAACATAAGAATGAGTGTGTCAAAAAAGGAAAGAAAATCTTGCTTTTATTATTTCATTGCTTACCGTCTAAGGATGTTGAACACATGCTAGGACCATTCATTCAGCTGTTAATTGCAGACCTACAACTGCTTTGTGACTGGGTATTTCCTAAGTAGTTAGTGGTATACCCAATGGTAACTTAGGTTAGCAAGTCAAGATAGGTTTTCGTAGGGGGAAAAAGTGTAAAATACATATTTGTACAAATATGCACTTTACTCACTGAAATTGAACTTATTGAATCTGGTTGAGCTGTTTTATACCCTTTCTCCAGGAAATCCGACTTATTGATTATGAGAAAATGGTGGATCATAGAGGAATACGGGTGGTGGCATTTGGACAATGGGCAGGCGTGGCAGGTTGGTATGCCAGGATTTTATGTCATTTTCTATGTTTGCCTGAGGAGTAACTGTGTGTTTTCTCTTTTCTGTGTTTATTTCCACTGATAAAAATATGAGTGTGTGGTGAAGGCTGATGAGTATCAGAAGAATAGAGGAAGAACATTAATCATTAAGATATTTTATTATAAACATTGAAAAGAAAAGAAAGCAGGGAAAAGGATAACACCTACGAATAGGCTTTAACTTTTTCAGATCTGTTTGGAGATCTAGAAGGAGAGATCAGTTTTAGGATGAGAGATTGGGAAGAAAAACATAAGAAAAAAGAAAAAGGGAAAAATGACACGGGGTAGGAAGCAACAGACAGCTTTCTAGAAGGAACAAGATCTAAAGTCTGGGGAAAACCTGTGCTTGATTTTTGCCCCAGCTAGTAGTTTGGACCTTTTTTTTTTGAGAAACGCTGCAATATGTGATGGCCTCCTTTCAGAGTAGGAAGGTCTTTAGTTGGACATTATTTGTTTTACCTTGTTATGTAAAAGTGAAATATTCCTCATTGTGGTTTATGTCACTGCTTTTTCTTCTTTTTTATTTATTTTATTTTACTTTATTCACATGTGCATACAATGTTTGTGTCATTTCTCCCCTCCTTCCCTCCGCCCCCTCTCTTCCCTCCCCAACCCCTCGCTACCAGGCAGAAACTATTTTGCTCTTATCTCTAATTTTGTTGAAGAGAGAGTATAAGCAATAATAGGAAGGACCAAGGGTTTTTGCTAGTTGAGATAAGGATAGCTATACAGGGAGTTGACTCACATTGCTTTCCTGTACATGTGTGTAACCTTCTAGGTTAATTCTTCTTGATCTAACCTTTTCTCTAGCTCCTGGTCCCCTTCTCCTACTGTCCTCAGTCGCTTTAGAGTATCTGCATTAGTTTCTCTGTGTTGAGGGCAACAAATGCTATCTAGTTTTTTTGGTGTCTTACCTATCCTTATACCTCCCTTGTGTGCTTTTTCTTCCTAGCCAGTCTGCCTTGACCTCCTTAAGATCTTGCTTTTACTACATTTCTCAAAAAAATATGGTCAATAGTATATTATTGTGTAAAATATTAAGAGTAATTGGAATTCTAGGGTACTTTTACAAACAACATTCCTACCATTCACTCAATTATCCCCACTCAAAAATGTTGGAAAAAATGTAAAATATCTTATACTTTTAGAAATGAGTAATGTCAGAAAAAAATCTTTAAATTTTAACATATTAGTATGTCCTTGCCTACCGGCTTCTGAAATAGTAAAAAACATAAGCAAAATTTTAAAACATTAGATTCTTGTCACTTAAAACCAATTTGTTGTTTCCTATTTTAAACCCTATTTCATACCTCTCCTCACCAATAAACAAATCCATTCTATTAAAGTAACAGGAAGTTGAATCTCTTAGTAGGGAAGGAGTGACAGCGTGATCCCTGTTGGCTACTCTTCCCAGATCATTCAAGATTCACCTAGATGAGAGTTTTATTTTTCTGGAGAGTATGAATGCAATCAGCAATAAGTTGATTAATTCAGGAGTCATAACACTCAGAAGTAGTGCCACACCAGTGGATAAGATGTGGTTCTTACTCTTAAGGAAGTGTTCAGGCAAGGAAATGGACAAGTACAATGCCACTGCTAATTGCTATAGGAAGGGTATTGAACTAGACTTGGCTGTTAGAGAAGTTTCCTTAAAATAGTGCCTCTGAAGCTAGGTTTGGTGAATAACTAAAAACTATTAAAGAAAGGGAGAGAGAAAGTAAAAAGGTTCAAAGCCCAATTGAGAAAACATCTAAGTAGACTAATAAAAGAAGGAAGACACTATTTTCTGATAAGGAGATCAAGAGGGGACATTATAACATCTCTAAAGAAATATTAAGGATAGACCAAAAAGATGGACAAAATTGATGAACTAGAAAAATCCTTGAAAGATACAAAGCACTAAAACCACAGCAAGAAATAAAAACTTAAGTATTACTATACAAAATAAAATATTCATAGGTGTTTGCCAAGAGAAATGCATCTTTTTTTTTTCTTGGTTGTACTGGGGTTTGAACTCAGGGGTTCATGCTTGCTAGTCAGGCGCTCTACTACTTAAGCCACTCCACCAGCCCAAATTGAAATATTTTAAAGAAAGAATTTTTATAGCCATTCCATTTGTAATAGCCTGGGAACAACACATGGCCATCAAAATAGAAATAGTAACTCATCTGCAATAAAAAGAAATAAAGTATTGAATCAAACCTCAAAAACATTATTCTGGATGATAAAAGACACAACAAAAAAGTCTATGCTTACAGTTTCATTTATAAGAAGAACTACAAGAATAACTAATCTATAAAGACAGAAATTTCAGTAGTTGTCTGTGATCAGGAATTTTGATCTTGATTATACTGATGGTAATATAGATGTGTGCATTTGTGAATAGTTATCAAACTATACATTTTAAAACTGGGCATGATGTGCATGTTGGTAACCTCAGCTGCTTGAGCAGTGAAGGTAGGAATTGGGGTCAGAGGTCAGCCAAGGCAAAATCATGAGACCCTATCTGAAAAACAGTGAAAGCAAAAGGACTGGGGCATGACTCAAGAGGTAGATTGAAGCTCTGGGTTCAATTCTCACTATTGCCAAAAAACAAAACAGAACAAAACTATACACTTTAAACTGGCACATTTTATTGCATTTAAATTATTTCTTTAAAAGTTGACTTAAGCATAAAAAGATAAAAGAATGAATTCCTTGGGGGGGCAGGAAGGATGGGATCTGCAATAAAAGATTGCAGATCTTGTGTTAACCTTACACAAGAAGAAGGAGACCCTTTCCATTTTATCAAGATCAAAAGTGGAAGGGATATAGTTGGATTAGAGTTTTTGATGGCAGAAAGTAGAGGAGATGGATAAAATCTGAGATACTGTGGTCTGTGCTTCCTACAGCACTGAGTAGGTGAAAAAAGTATAAAGAGAAAGAATGTATCATTTCTCTTGATAAATTTCTACATGCAGAATATATTTTTCTATGTGCAGAATATATTTTGGACAGTAGTATTCAATTCCAGTCAACTAATTCCCTTCTTCATGTTCTGACTCTATAATAGGGATGATCAATATTTTACATGGAATGGGTTTAAGGCTCCTTGCTTTGGGACATCACACACCATTTATGGTGAGAGATATTTCTTTTATTTATTGCTTTGAAAATACATAGCACACTTTAAGAACAGAAAAATAGCTCAGTGAGTAGACTAACTTGAATTATATGTGTTGCTTTCAGCATCTTGGCATGGCTCATAACTACAGGAATAGCAGTCAGGCTGTGCAAGCTGTCCGTGATGCTGGCTATGAAATATCTCTGGGTTTAATGCCAAAGTCAATAGGGCCCTTAACATTTGTGTTCACAGGGACTGGTAACGTATCAAAGGTAAATTCCATCTGTCTTTCTTCTTTCTGTAAAACAGTTTGAAACTGGAGATGTGGGCCTTTTAGGGACATTTCAAATAGAACTGAATGGGCATTCTACCTTTTGGTACTTTAATAATTTATGTATTTTTCTTATGGCAAAGAGCAATAGCTTCCAAACATTTTCTTTGCTTTTCCTTGATTCAAGTTATCAAAAGCTTGGAATACCCTTCTTTCCTCTTTCCTTCCTTCCTCATCTTCCCTTCTTTCCCTCCTTCCCTTCATTCCTCCCTCCCTTCCCACCCTCCCTTACTTGCCTTCCTGCCTTCATGCCTTGAGATAATTCATTTAAAACTGCTCATAGGGTGATCAGTTTTTCTTTCACTACTGAGATGTCCAAAAACTTGAAAATGACTCCAGAATATATATTTTTGAAGACTTGTATTTTTGCCAATAGATACTGGGAAGATTAATTTAAGACTGGGATGAAACCACATCCTGGGGTGGTTTAAAAGATGTATTTGTAATCAATCTCTCAGAAACTTTAAATTGAAAACTAGATCTTTAATGAAAATATTTCACAAATAGAACATCTCTGTCCATATTATATTGAGAGGTAAGCATCTGATTTTTCTTCTGCAGGAAACAATTTTCCCATTTGAAATAATTTCTGGAATGAACTAAAAAGTAAAAAGAAATCTTGTATTATAGTCATATTTCTAAATGCTCTTGTTGCTGTTCTGAGTAACTTAAGTTAAGAGAAAACAAAAACAGCTCCTTCTAATGCATGGTTTTCCAATTGGAACCCAAGCTGGTTTGCAGGCTATGAGTACAGAAGTTTATCTCTACTTCTATGTTGCTGTCTTGGTTGCAGGGCAAGGCAAAGAGAGCTATATAATTTTGGGACCATAACTGGAATCTGTGCAGAAAATGGTGTTGGCTCTTTTCCTGTTGATTTTAAGGTGTTTACTCATGCATTGTTTACAGGGAGCCCAAGAAATCTTTAATGAACTACCCTGTGAATATGTGGAGCCCCATGAATTAAAAGAAGTTTCCCAAAATGGAGGTAAAGGGTGGAGGAAGACCATATCACGTACTTTTTTAAAAAGTCTTTTGTTATAATATCTTATCACCATAAATCATTATCATTTGTCACCCATGTACCAATTTCTTCTTCTTCTGCAAGACCTCAGAAAAGTGTATGGGACAGTGTTAAGTCGACATCATCATCTTGTCAGAAAGACAGATGGTGTGTTTGATCCTGTAGAGTATGACAAACATCCCGAGCGCTACATAAGTCGTTTTAATACAGATGTGAGTATCCTATTCAGTTTTTGAGATGGTTGCTTTTGATACATTATAGTTTGACTGTTTTCAAGGAGAGAAATTATGGGCTTGGAACCAAGTCTCCAACACATAGGCTTTTAGGGGACATTTACTATCCATTTATATTGATTTTTGGTTCCTTATATGGACTTGTGAGTCCTTTGGTTTTAGGAATTGTTGCTCTTGGTATTTGTAGTGGCCTTTGCTTAGTGGTTTTGGTTGCTTCCATGGGTATGCCCTTTGCTTCACTGTCTCTTTCTACTTCAGATCTGTGAGTACCAAAAGCTCTAAACCATTTCCTGTGGGTTGCCGTTTGTCTATTATCCTGGACTAGTTAGCACTGTTGGCAGAGCACAATGTCTATGAGGTTTGATCTTAGCATAGGTTTACCCTTTCTATGCCAAAAATTGCAATTAGAACTTCAACTACTGTATTAAATCTGAGTGGTGTTGTTATTTATGTTTCAAAAGATGGCCATTGACATGGACAATGAAAGTGTTCATTGGAAGTAGCATTAATTATTTCTTATGGACTTGACTAATAGCATTCTTTCAGCACACAGTATGGGTTCTCTCTTATTTGTTGAATGTGGAACTTGTTTTACAGATTGCACCCTACACAACTTGTTTAATTAATGGAATCTACTGGGAACAAAATACCCCTCGCCTCCTAACCCGCCATGATGCTCAAAGTCTCTTGACTCCAGTCAAGTCTTCAGGGATTACTGTTGAAGGATGCCCTGAATTACCACACAGGTAAGGTCTTTACTGCTAAACTAATGGCAGTTTTTAGTGATGGCACCATTGGCAGGGGACCAAAGAATTTAATCCTACATATCAGAGGACTTGATCATTAGTGACTACCTGATTCCATCTCTTGGCAACATTTGGTCCAGATGCCCCCCCTCTCCTTTAAACTCTCTTCTAAATTTTGTGGAAGTCTTCTCTTACTTCCCCATTCCCATCTCTCTCTAGTCTGTTACTCTGTTTATTTTTCTATATTTGTGATCATTTGTTTTCCTGTGTTTATGATTTTTCTCTTTACTACTAGAATTGAATCTCCTTAACTATAGGAGCAATGTTTATCTTAACCAGAAGCACCTGGTATATTGCCTGAGGTAAATTAGACATTCAAATAATTATTAAATGTTGAATGAATGAATAATATTTGTGGAATACCTTGTCTGCACAGCTCTGCTAAGCCAAAGGAGAGAGAATAGTAAAGATATCTTTGCTCTTACAGGCATGCAGCTGGGATTAGGCAAATGCCAAGGGGATGGTAGGATCAACAGTGCCATAGGAGTTTAGAAAAAGCGGGAGCATTTGTAATTGAACACAATAATTTCACCTCTGGGTGAATGCAAAGCCAATAAGCATAACCAGGAGATAAAAGAGTATGGGATAATTCTCCAAGCAAATAAGGCAAAGGGCTTTTATTGGGGAGCTCACACATACTCATTTAGGAAAGATTTGTCATGGCATGTAGAGGTGGCATGTTCTTGAGAATGCTTAGCTGGAGGCCATGTTGTTTTGTATATCACATACCCAAAACATTGTGGATGGGAAGGCCCTCTGGTAGAGCATTTACATTTAATATTGATGAGTAGAGTTTACTCTAAGGTCACATAAAAGTGTGAGTCAGAATAGCCTGGTGATTTGGCAAGTCCCTTGAAGTTTGTCTGGGAGGTCTTATCTGAAACAAAAAACAACTTTGAAGGCACATTAATAGTCATTTAATGAAGAAGCCGTACCACCCCAAAAAGCATAAGTAATAGTTCCTAAAAGTACTAACCTAGTGGCAACACTTGAGTTTTGCAAAGCCTTGGAAAGGAAGACTGAGAAGAACAAAATTTACAAGTTATAGGATTGCTGCTTGGTAAATATGAAGCCACGAAAATACAACATAAGACACTGAGTGGGACAGTGTAGCATAAGTATACGTTTGTGTAGTATGTGGTAATTGTAAGTTGAGCAGGAAAAGGTGACCAACCTATGACAGTTTTTTAAAAATTTCTTTTATCCATATGTGCATACAATGTTTGGGTCATTTCTCCCTCCCTTCTCCCCAGCCTCTTCCTTTCCCCCACCCCCCTCCCTCTCCCCCCACCCCCTCGCTACCAGGCAGAAACTATTCTGCCTTTATCTCTAATTTTGTTGAAGAAAGAGTATAAGCAATAATAGGAAAGACCAAGGGTTTTTGCTAGTTGAGATAAAGATAACTATACAGGGAGTTGACTCGCATTGCTTAGAATGTGTTACATTCTAAGTTAATTCTTCTCAAACTAACCTTTTCTCTAGTTCCTGGTCCCTTTCTCCTACTGGCCTCTGTCGCTTTAAAGTTTCTGGATTAGTTCCTTTGCATTGAGGATATCAAATGCTATCTTGTTTTTTTTTTGGGTTTCTTGCCTATCCTCATACCTCCCTTGTGTGCTCTCACCTCATCATGTGATGAAAGTCCAATCCCCTTGTTGTGTTTGCCCTTGATCTAAAGTCCACATATGAGAGAGAACATATGACTTTTGGTCTTCTGGGCCTGGCTAACCTCACTCAGGATGATGTTCTCCAGTTCCATCCATTTAGCTGCAAATGATAGCATTTCATTCTTCTTCATGGCTAAATAAAATTCCATTGTGTATAAATACCACATTTTCTTAATCCATTCATCGATAGTGGGGCATCTTGGCTGTTTCCATAACTTAGCTATTGTGAATAGTGCTGCATAAACATGGTGTGCAAGTGCCTTTGAAGTAACCTGTGTTGCATTCCTTTGGGTATTCCCCAAGAGTGGTATCTGGATCATATGGCAGAATCTTATGTTTAGATTTTTAAAAGCCTCCAAATTTTTTTCCAGAGTGGTTGTTGCTAGTTACATTACCACCAACAGTGTATAAGGTTCCTTTTTCCTCACATCCTAGCTAACACCTGGTGTTGGTGTGTTTTTGATATAGCTTTCTAACAGGGGTGAGATGCAATCTTAGTTGGTTTAATTGGATTTCCTTGTTTGCTGAGATGGTGAGCATTTATTCATGTGTTTTTGGCCATTTGAATTCTTCTTTTGGAGAAATTTCTGTTTAGTTCACTGCCCATTTCTTATTTTTCATAAATTTGGGAGAGTTTAGTTTTTGAGTTCCCTAGATATTCTGGTTACATCCTTTGTCTGATGTTACTGGCAAATATTTCTTCCCACTCTGTGGGTTTCTCTTCAGTGTTAGAGCTCATTTCTTTGTTAGCAGAAGTTTTCAGTTTATGAAGTCCCATTTGTCTATGCTATTCTCTTAGTGCTGCTACTAGGTTCCATTGAGAAAGTCCTTCCTATGCCTATTAGTTCCAAAGTATTCCTACTCTTTCCTGTACCACTTTAGAGTTTGGTCTGATATTAAGGTCCTTGATCATTTTGAGTTAATATTGGTATAGGGGTGATAAACAATGGATCTCAGTTCAGTTTTTGCCAGACTGCCTAACCAGTTTTCTCAGCAGTTTTTTGTTGAAGGGCTGTCTTTCTCTTATTGTGCATTTTTATCAGCGCCTTTGGCTGTGACAGTTTTTAAAATGCGGACTGAGACTTCTGTTGTATTTCTAGAGATTTCCATGTAAATCACATGTAAAATTATGCAGTATAGTCATCCCTTTTGTATCTGTGTAATTGTTTCTAGGACCCAGTGAGATAGCAGTATCTGCATACCAATATAAAATAGTGTAGAAGCTATACACTTCCTCCATATACACACCCATTCGGATTATTTATAATAATTAAATAACAATGAAAACACTATATTAAATAATTTCTTATGCCTATATGTTAGGGAATAATTGGCAAAGTAACAAAGTCAGTTATTATTTTGAGTACAGATGCCATCTTTTTTGAAATCTTTTTTGAGTCTCAGTTTACTCTACAGAATGTGGAAACCATGATGTGGTTGGCTGTCTATCCTAAGACAGGTGGACATGATGTAATTGACATTTGTTAGTTGTTTACAGACGATTTAGCTAGGTTAACTTAAGCAGGTCTGCTGTTGCTTATTTTCTCTAGTGGAGGTATTTTTTCTATTTTGTTTTCTTTTCTTCTTCCACCCTTC